TCACATGCTTATACGCGTTCGTGGAAGAAATTCAAAGAGTTACACTTTTAGCTGAATCAATGTCGCACGATAAGAAAAAAAGATAGGAAGTTTATCCAAAATGCCCTGTAGACTCTCGAAGATAAGTATGGACGTCATCATACCGATCCACAAGACTCTACTAGCACCAAGTTTAGAAGTGTTACTTACCTCGAACAAGCCAAATCCAATACCGAGTAAGCCAAACGATGCTCCAAAATACCATAACGCGTGTACCAACCTCCAAACAACTCCAAACTAGCCAAAAGCAACTCAAATACATCAAATAATTCCAAAGGGAACAAATCCAAGCGGTAAAGGTCGAATCTTTAATCAAAATCATGAAATTGACCAAAACGAAAAACCCGAGCCCGCATCTCGGAACCTGAAAAAACTCACAAAATACGATAACTCATTCAATTATGAGTCCAACCATACTAGTTTCACCCAAATCCGACTCTGAATCAATGCTCAAAACTCAAAAATTTACTCTATGAAACTTTGGACAAAAACCCTCAATTTTCTCTTCAGAATTCACAATTCAATTACCAAAAATGAAGATAGATTCACGAAGTATAACCAAAACTGAGTAGAGAACACTTACTCCAATTCATATGGTGTAAATTACCTCAAATATTGCCCAAATTCGAGCTCCTCAACTCAAAATATAACCAAATGAACTAACTCTCGATATTAAATATATTTTCACAAATTTTCTTCCTCGTTTTGTGTGCCAACTAATCCTAAAACTCGATTTTGGTACCTCCAATGGATTTCTTGTGAAATTTCAGTCAATTTAGGCTTTTGAATCAATCCATTTGACCTTATAATGAAGGAGATATGTTGGTTTTAATAATTGAAAATAGTGTAATTTTTTAAATACAAAGTCAGTGGTAATTTCGTAATTAATAAAAAAAATCCGCAACCCAATTCTTAGTAAAATAAACATAAACTCATCATACAATGTCCAAATACGACGATACTTTTTTCTATGGCTCCGTAATTGCAATATGGATCTAATGCTTCAATAAAAATAGAAATTAGAGCTAATTTTCTTAATGTGGTACAATTTATGCTTGAAAAAACAACGTTGAGACATCAAAAACAAGCGTAACACTACTCAAACCTATCTGAAACTTACCCGAGCCCATCGGTACCCCGTTCGAACATACCAACAAGTGCCATAAAATAATGCAACCCTACTCGAGGCCTCAAATCAAGCATAACAACATCAAAACGACGAAGCACACCTCAAATCAAACTTAATGAACTTTTCCAAACCTTCAAATTCTAATTTTTGCCAATTAGTGCTGAATCCTTCTAGAAATATCTAATTGCAAGTCTAGGCCTAAGTTCGAGTTTAAAATTACCATCTGGACCTAACGGAACCATCAAAACTCCAATCTGAGGTCAAATGCTAAAAAGTCCAACTTGGTCAATTCTTCCAACTTAAAGCTTCAATCAGAAAGTTCATTCTACCAAATTATTTCCGAACAACCTAAAAATCAAAATCGATACTTTACACAATTCATAATATATCATATGAAGATACTCGTGCCCTAAAACTACCGAGCAAAGTGCAAATGCTCAAATGATCGGTCGAGTCATTACATTTGCCTACACAAAAAAGGTATTGAAACGATTTTACGTGTATGGAGCATATCCGTTAAGTACTGCGATGGTCTTTTGGTCACTTAATGTGAATAAGGATCCGTTTTGACTTCAAGAAAATAATGAAGAGCTTCTTGGTCCTGAAGTACCATATCTTAGTGAAATTGGTGCACTAATGTATCTTGTTAATACTACAAGGCTTGGCATAATGTTTTTAGTTAATGTCTTAGCAAGATATAGATCTAGCCCTACAAGGAGACAATGGAATGGAATCAAACACATTTTCCGGTATCTAAAAGGGACTACCTACATGGGCTTATTTTAAGGCAATGATTGTAGTCCCGATCTTGTTGATTATGTCAATGCTGGGTATTTATCCAACCCACACAAAACTTGATCTCAAACAGGTTATGCGTTTACATGTGGAGGCGCTGCCATATCCTGGCGATCGACTAAGAAATCAATCGTGGCTACTTCAACTAATTATGATGATATAATTGATATTCATGAAGCAAGTCGAGAATGTGTGTGGTTGAGGCCTGTAATACATCTTATTTGAGAAAATATGACTTGAAATGTGACAAACTACCCACAATTTTGTATGAAGACAATGCAGCATGCATTGCCCAATTGAAGGAAGGATTCATAAAAGGATATAGGACAAAGCGCATTTTATCAAAGTTATTTTTCACACATGATCTTCAAAAGAATGGTGATATCAATGTGCAACAGATTCGTTCAAGTGATAATATGGCTGATTTGATCACAAAATCTCTACCGACGTCAACTTTCAAGAGACTAGTGTACAAGATAGGGATGTGAAGGCTCAAGTATGTGAATTGATTCTCTTATCAAGGGGAGTTAATACGCATTGTAATCTTTTTTCCTTACAAGGTTTTGATGTCCATGAAAAGTTTGACATGCATTTAATGGATGTGGTTGCAACCTACCTTTATGGCATACTTTATAACGAAATATACATGAAAATTTCCGAGGGATTTAAAATGCCTGGCGCACATAATTCAAAGTCTCAGGAAATGTTTTCAATCAAATTGCAAAGATGTTTGTGTGGTCTAAAGCAATCAGGAAGAATGTTGTATAACCGCCTTAGTAAGTATTTATTGAAGGAAGGTTATGTAAATTATGTCATTTGTCCATGTATTTTTATAAAGAAAACAACATCAGAATTCATTGTACTTGCCATATATGTCGATGACATAAACCTTATTGGAACTCTTACAGAACTCCAAAAAATAATTGATTATTTAAAGAAGGAAATTGAGATAAAAGATCTCGGAAAGACAAAATTATATCTCGATTTGCAAATTGAACATTTGGCAAACGGGATTTTTGTTCATCAATCTGACTATACAGAAAAGACAATTTTTTCCTATAAATAGAGGGGTTCTATTCCATTGTAAATCATCCCAAATCAATAAGAATTCTCTCCTTCTACTTTTCTCTGCAATACTCTTCTTCTTCTTCTTCTTCTCTTATTGTTTTACATTACCAATTATTTTGTAAGATCATGAGCCATCTCAAGAAATCTCTATTTACTGGGCATGTTGTTGTTGTTGTTGTTGTTGTTGTTGTTGTTGTTATTGTAATAGTAAATGAAATCTCTATTTGTAAGTTACAAAAAGTTCAAGCAAGTAAAGTCCTGCTAGAAGATGTTAAATTATTGCGTTGAGGTGCCACCAATATTCTTAGGTTTATCTTATTTATAGCATTTGAAATAATATTTATTTACAAATTTAAATAATGAATCAATTTTGACTAATAAATTAAGAGTATTAAGAAAATCTAAATTTAAGGATACAAAATATTTATTTATATTATATTAAAATAGGAGTGATAGGCAAGGACATAAGTGAAAAACTAATAAACAATAGCACGATAAAGTATTTAAAAATGCAAACACAAAATATATGGAACAAGAAAAAGAAAAAGTATAGAAATAAAAATTTGTAGTGCAGAAATATATTTTGCAAATAAGGTCATCTAACTGAAATTTTAGTAGATATTGAATAATAAACAAATATAATTTAAATTTATATGTAGATAAATAACAACAATAATTGAAACTAAATTTCAATATCTCACATTGAAAGCAAAATATAAGTAGTTCAAAGTCATTATTTTAATAAAAGGTAAAACACTAAAAAATTAACTAAAAATATTATATAGTAAACAAATGCATACAAAAGGATGATAGGGATTGTGTGAAGATATTTATGATCTTGATTAATTTATAAAATAAATAAAGTAAATATTGAAATAATGCTAAAGTTATGATTAACGAAATTAGGTAATGAACTAAGCTTATATATTGGTTTGTTTTTCAAAATTATTAACTTTTATAATATGTAGAGGTGCCAAATATCCTAGCACTCTCTCATATACGCTTTACAATGTCATTTTAAAACAAGCTGAATTTTGAAATGGTTCAATAAACTTGTATATTCATGATTACGTTTATCAACCGATCGTGCATCGTGTAGGTACGTATACTAGTAAACACTTTAAAGAAAACAAGGGGTCGATTCGGAAGATGACATTTTCTTTTTTGGATAACAAAGTGGATAAAACAACTCTACACTTTTTGTTTACTTATTATTATTATTATTATTATTATTATTATTATTATTATTATTATTATTATTATTATTATTATTATTATTATTATATTAAGCATCTTCACAAAGGAGAGTGTCTTAAGTTACTGCAGGTACCCTCAGTAATACCTAGATTGTCTTTGTGGGTGATAGACCATTTTGGGGCGATTTCGAGCCACCATCTCTTCTTATTAGCCTGAATATCATAAAAATGTCTCAAAGTTGTAGCCAGGGTGAAAATTCTGTTCTAACTCAAGTTAATGCAAATGATTTGCTTTTTCAAAGTCTTATGAGATTGGGTTATAAATATAAACAGTAAAATATTCAAACGTTTTGATGATTTAAGAATTCGAATTTGTCAGTCTTAAAGCAGTTGTACAATTTGATGTTTTTGCCAAACAAAAAGTATTCTACATGACAAGTCCCTTAATTTAAACAACTATTTCTTCCACCAACTGAACAAAATATGTTACTGGAATTAATTAATGGGTAAAGAAACTTTGAGACATAAAAGAGAAGAAAAAAAACTAAAACTTAGTTACCTTCATATATACAGTAGTAAAACAATGAATGGGAGAATTTCACTTGTAGTAAAATTAATAAGATTTAAAAACTGAAGCACACTGAAGTACTGTATCATTCTCCTGTAGAAGGTATACTGAAATGAAGTGAACGACCATGTTATAGGCACTTAGGATTGATTGGTTTCTTGGATTAAGCAAAAAACATATGTTTGTTAAGCTAATAACAGTTCCATTTGCTTGAATACCTCCCAAATTTATTTTTGAATAATTCCTCCCGGTAAATTGACTACAACTAAGCAACCACAGTCAAGGGAAGAGATAAACCTAGAAGATCACTTGAAGTGAAAAACTAAATTAAAATAAATTCAAGTACTGATCACTGTCTTTAAGTATACGGATTAATTAAAAACCTTGGGCTATGGTTAATAAAACCATCTCTAAACTTCTCTTTGGTATTGTATACAAGCTATCCAATATGGTTCACTTCAATAAGTTACCTTTTCCTGAAACTATCCTCCAGTATGACTTCTCTTCAGATCAACCACAATCACACTAATGTTATCACAGCTATTCCGTCCCATAGCAAGTCGAGTAAGCAGCGCTGCTGCTGATGCACTTCGGGAAGAATATACACTTCCTCCGCTATCACCTTCTACCAAAGGACTGAAGCTATGGTCCGCAGCTGGATCTTCCTCTCGAAGACACTCACTAGCCACCTCACACGCCATGTCGTTTGATATAACATCCCACAAACCATCACTGGCAAGAATCAAGCACTCATCCTCTGCTTCCCTTTTTGTGAAGGTAATCTCAGGCTCGGATATTACATATGGCGATAGATACTTGTCTCCTGTGTGTAATAAGAAAAAATAATAGAAATATTTACTGGTATTTGAATCTCTGTGCTAGGATCAGTTTAAGAAAAGCAAATTTCCCCTACAAAAATGGTGGATAAAGTACCGTCTTCTTCATAATCAACAGTAGCAAAAACCACCAAGTACAGTTCTTAATGATCAGCAACAGCAAAATCACCTAGCTTAATCCAATTACCTTTTGGCAAAGAAAAAACCACCTAGTTGAATGCCAGGTCTAAGGTAACCACCTACTAGACAAGTAATATATTTCGAAACCTCTTACACATATTTATAGTGCAGTGCAATCTGCAACAATTTTAAGAACTCTTGAGACTAAAAGGAAACTCAATTAGAGAGAGAGACCAATTGTGATTGCACAAGTAACACATTTAGAAACATCTGCTTGTAGTGTGATAATACTAAATTACATAGGGGGAAAACATGAAGGCATAACAACCCATCTTAAGTAAAGGCTTGACCTACTGTACTACATAGTACACATTACTAACGGCAGAGATCTTTCACAAATGCAAGAATGGTTAATTCATGTAGTAGTTTAACACGTTAAACTTGACAACCAATCTAGACATCTGGACAAGCTTCCAAATCCTACATACCTCTAGAAATATCGTAATGCAGCTTCTTATGTAAATCAGGTTAATGTGCATTCACTAACTTGTGATTTAAGAAATTAAGCTAAAAAATTTATATCAACAGGGAAGTGCATTATGAAATGTCAACCATGCCTTTTCATTTAGAAGTAAACTATTCGAATATTAGTATCCCCAAACAAATACAATTTCGTCGAATATAATAGTTCCTTTTACACTATTACATAACAAAAAACAATACTTGTAAAACAGGCTTTATGCAAATATTGTCATAAACAATTGAACAATAAAATATTTTATAAAAAAAGCTGAAGACCGCAATATATTTGTGCTCCATCATCACACTATGGGATACAAAAGCCTTAGGTATTTAAAAGTCTGTGAGCAATATCTTATGTCACCGGATCATCCAGCAAAATTAAATGGTTTCCAAAAATAAAGAAACCACCATTTTCTAAATCATGACTACTAGTATGAGAATACTTCTTCTGAAATAGACAATGAACGTAGTAAAATAACTAACCTTGAAATGAGCATAGGTGGAAAGGATAACTCGTCTAATTAGCAAAAGGGAAAATCAATACGATAGGATTTGCACCAGAGTCGGTTGTTTCGATTTTGAAAACGACTTTTGTTCATCACAAGTTTCCCCGGTATGGTTGTTGCAGTTTTACATATTACAACTATCCTAACTAGGATGCTCATGCGTTGGAGAGTAGACTAAAAAATAATGTTTGACATCAATAGTAGTCCCTCTAGTAAAACAGTTCTGTCAATGATTCAGCATTAACAAGTACTAAATAATGTGTTGTATCAATCCATTTCCAGCAACATAAATTGCTTTCCTTGAACTATCATTAACCACACCCAGTTTAACCTTCTCTAACCCTAATGGGAAGACGGCCATCTACTTTGACGCGCAAACGACAACTTCTATGACGCGCAAACGACAACTTCTATGACGTACAACCAATTTGCTCAATTTTATTTCTAGTTTGTCGTCTTATGCATGGCATTAAATATACGGACAAACAGCACTTTCACATTTTCTAACCCTAATGAGAAGCCGCCCATTTACTTTGATGCGCAAACGACAACTTCTATGATGTACCACCAATTTGCTCAATTTTATTTCTAATTTGTCGTCTTATGTGTGGCATTAATTATACGGACAAACAACACTTTGAGAATATGCACATCATCCACAACTACTCAATTTTGTTTCCACTTTGTCGTCTTATCCGTGGCATTAAATTAACTGACAAACAGTTTTTCTTCATGCACGTCATGCAGAATTCTGTAGTAAGACCTTAAATGTTAACCCTAATTGGTCTCATTTCTATACCTTAATAAACAGATACAAGCCCTCAATGGATGATAGTTACATTGCCTCAAATTCATTTGTTCTCTCTATATTCTTTGTTCTCTAGAACTATTCTATTTCTTCCACAAGAAGCTACGGCGATAGTGGTATTTCCAGCTGCCATAGTTGTGCTTTAATATGCTATATGCTATTACCTTGACAACATTCTTTGTGTCTCGCCAATCAGTTACTCATGCATGATACATGATATGTGCCTTTAAGTTTTTGTTTGGAAACTAGTTAAGGATTAGACGTATGGAGAAGCAAATATTGTTGCCTGAAAAAGGAAGAATTTACCAATCCTAGAAATTAATGTGATGCTGTTAATAAAGTGATAATGCATGTAAGGTGAAAAACAAATGAAGCAGCAGTTACGATGGCAATTTTGTTAAGTAGGAGTCCACCAAGGCGGGAGTAAGCTTTCGTCATGTGGATATAAGTAATATTTCACATGAGCATTGTAATGATTTATTTGCATAGGAAAAACAGGATCTTTCATTATCAGAAAAAGGATTTTCTAAACGAGAAATATTACCTATTGCCCTAGACATGGCAAGAATTCCTTGAACCCGTGGCCCATTTGCAAAAACAACTCGGCCCCCAGACGCTTCTATTCTGGCTAGTTCATCGCGTCTATCCGGCTGCATTCAAATAAGTTTAACTTTTCATGAGGACAAATTAAATCATTTTCTTCAGGTAGCTCAATAAATTACTCTGCTTAGTTTACACAGACCATTGTGGCATGATTTATGAGTAAAAGACCAAAAAAGAAAAAATAATACAGATCTATTAGCAGTTAAGGAAAGCGTGGAATGTTACTTCAATAATTAATTAAACATAGAAGGGAATATGTAGTGCAAATGCGTGTCTTAGTTATATGATAATTGGCCTTTTAGCTTGACATATGAGTACTTAAATGTCCCAAAATGAGTTGCCGCATCTTTGAACACATACAGACATATCCAATGTATTTGAATTCACATATATGAATGTGTACTTGGAGGAGGAAATTATGAAACAGACATTTTGAGCAGGATTTATAATGTTCAATAAGAATCTTCACACTCAAAAATACAACTGTTGACGTGAAATCTAGCCCTATTAGACGGTGAAATCTTTGCTCTTTAAATATAGATCATTAGAATAAGTTATCGGAAATAAATAAATTCTTAGAAGCTTCGCTGAAGTAGTCTGTTCCAAGAAAACAAAAATTATCTATTTTGAATGTTTGCTTTCAAATAAGATTTGGGAAAAACGAAACATGTTTATTTTTAATATTTTGACTTGAGTCAAAACATGGTCCCAACCCTATAGGGTGACGTGTACCTTATGATCAGAGGAAAGGGGGATGGGCTTTCCGTCCCGGCTAAGGACGGCGCGTGAGTCACCACAGTTGGCTACAATTATTGTTTCTTCCGTCAAAACTGCAACCACGGCGGTGGAGCCCGTCAGACCCAAGGTGTCGCGTGCGCAGTCGCATTGGTGGCCAACACTTCCACACTCGCCGCATGTGGTTGAAGCTATCTCGTCAATTCTCAGGAAACAACTCCTCAGCACTCTTTTCCAGGCTTCCTCTGTCCTCTGTTGTTGTGTTCCACTTCCATGAGAACTGCTGCTACCGCTCATGTCTGTACTTTCCCCCACGCGCGTCAGCTCTTCTTGTAGTAGCACGTGCATCCTTTCGCTACACAGTGCAGCTACCTGCATCACCAATTATTGTAAGCTGTATACGCTACTCTAATACTGAAAAAATAATCTTTAATTTTATATCCGCTTCACTTCTTTAGAGGTATATATTGTATATAGATTGAGAACTTTTTGTAGAGCCCTAACTAAATCCCAACAATTATAATTAAGTAGAGTATGTCACTCTGATTTTAGTTTTATCAAGAATCAACTTTAACATTTCTGAATTTGTTTTTCAAAAAGTAAGTTACAGAATTTTTCAAATGCTATTATATAGGAGTACTGGAATATTACAAATACAATTAATTTAGTTTAGTGCTGAAATTGGTCAATTTGACTTTATAGATTATCAAACGGTTAGAAAAGAAATGAGTGAATAACAAGAAATGGGCGGAGAAAACAGTTTACATGACGTCCACCATGTCCGTCGTAAATAGCAAAGAAATCAACGGGTCGGCCGCGATTGATCTCCGGCGAGCAAAGATTAGGTCGAATTGAAAATTTATCTTCCATTGCACGCCGTCTTCCTATTATAGAAATTACTCCAACGACCGGCCCGCTGGCTGGTGTCTGACTAGCCGCGATAGAAGGCTCCGTCGATGCAGACGAAGGATCAGCCATATCTACTAAACTGACTCCCACACCCCTATTTTGGCCCAAAGCTTCTGAGCTGTTGTACAATAAGGTCCTACGCGAAAATGACGAGGAAGCATTAGCAGTAGCAGAGGATAAAACCTTGGCCTGCAGCCTTCTCATTCGAATTCTGCGGCGGCGTCGCCTCCTGCATTTCTCGGTAGAATTGCCATTCACTTTGCTGAGCATCCCAGTTGTGTAACCGCTACTGCCGTTACAGAGTGGCATTTATAGGAGGGGTGTGGAGAATAGGCAAACACTCTTTAGCTAGCTATCTGTCATCAGTAGGAGAACTCGTTAAGTACAAGGAATGACGAAAACGTATGATATATGTGTGAATACGTGTACGTATATATGTCTGCATGCTGTACTTGTTTGGTTGCATCTCTCTCTACTTTCAATTTCCGGTTGATGTAGAAAAAGACGATGAAAGGAAGAGGCGTTTGAGGAACTTGACTACTACAGTAACCGAAAGGTTTTCTTCTCTAACGTGGAAACAAGCCGAGGCTACCACTTTGAACCACGGCAGTGACACGTCTCTCTAAACTGACGTTTGCTTTTCAACTAGTATTCTAAACGTTTGTCAAATTTCTCATTATCGCGAGATGAATGATTTTATCGCATGCATTCAAGCTTAAAACGTGAAGGGGAGTTTAGCTTGAATGGACAGTACAAAATTACGGTGGAATTAATTATAACTTCGAGTTGACGTAAATCTATTTTTTTGTGGTCCGTTCCAAAAAGAATGAATTTTTTTAAATTTAAAAATAATTTAGTATAAACTTACAACTCTATCCTTAATGAGAAGCTTTTATAACCATACAAATACTCTGTGCCCATTTTTAACTTATTTAAGACCATAAATTTCAAAAAAAATTATTTTGTCTTAAACTCAATACCAATCAAATAGGTTCGCATAAATTGGAACGGAGGGAGTAATACACTCGTCGGAAGTACTATCTTTCCGAAATCCTGCATATTTTAAGCTTAAAACGTGTCAAAAGTCTCGTGACAAGTGGGCCAGATCAGACGAACTCAACATCGGAAGCCTTGTCACTACAAAAACTTTCACCGAACTGAGAAATCGGCCCCGGGTAATACTTTGCTGAGATTCTGGAAATGAGAGAGAGATGACATAAACAATTCTCCACGTAGTAAGGGATGACGGGAACCAGCGCCGCTTTGAAGAAAGCCCTGAGACATAAAGATCCGCTGACAGATTTTCCGCATAGTATAGATTTTGGAGATCCGCTTCCTCATTAAACTATTCTCTCTGCTATTTTACTATATATACCGCATAATTTGATTATTTCATTTCTTATAGTACTAAGTAGTATGCTAAATGAATGTATACGAAAATATTAAAATAATTCAGACCACATATTAGATGAATTGCCTTTCGTACTTGGAGTGCTACTGCTAGTATTACTTATTATAATTAAATTAAAAGATAGAAATTTATATATCATGCATTCTATTGATTTCATAATGGGCGAAAGCTTTGTCTAAAACTCTAAATGGAACAAACAAACAAACAAACACAACTAGGCATTTACTCGAACTAAACTATCACCTAATAAATAATGGTGAAAAAGGAAAACGGTTGCTAGTTGAGAAAATTGAATGCTTTAGGTTAGTTACTCTATCATTTTAAAGGCCTCGTAAGTCCAGTTTTCACTTGTTATTTAATTGCAAGCACAGTTCGATGCACAAAATATTTTGTATTCATGTAGAATTTAGAAAGGACCATATTCTAAATAGGATGATATGGATAGTCTACCTTAATACAAGTATTAGTAGATGATTTTAATTGTTCAAATTACATTAAATGTCTGTGTCTTTTTGTTATAAATTTCTTTTGTTGTTTGATTTATCGTCATTGAATGTTTGTTTTACTAACTTTCGCATGATACCTAATTATTTCGATCTTAACAACTGATATCAGAGCCAATAATTTGGCGAGAATATGGAGATGGCGGAGTGTGCGTGAGGGCCTGGCTTAGTATGCACCTTTGCCCATATGCGGGATTTATGGCATTTAAGCCGCATACACACCCTTTAGGCTTCGGTGACCGCAAATACTCAAGATCATGTGGGAGCACATAATTAATCTCCAAATTAACCTATAAATGGTGATGGGTTATGTGGAACTTAGCTCAAAGAGAAGATTGTTGGGTGTGTATGAATAAAGTCCCACATGAAAAGTAGAAAAAAAAAGCTATTTTTTAGGAGTTGGATACTCTTAATGGTGTGAGGCCTTTTGGTAAAAATTGTGCAGGCTTGGCCCAAAGTGAACAATATCACATCATGTTAAGAGTATCTTTGGGTCATTTTAGCTCAACAACCTATAGGTTGCACATAAATAACTTTATTGTTGTTTCAAAAATCTCCTTCAAATTAACTAAAGGGCCAAATTTTATATGATTAATCTTTGAGATAATTACTTTCTCCTCAAATCTTCAACAAAATATTATTCCCTCCGTGTCACGACCCAAACCGATGGCCGCGACGGGCACCCGGTACCTTACTCAATCGAGTACCAACATAACGTATCTTTTCATGCCATACTCTCACAGATAACTGAGCCGGAAGGCTGCCGTGAGATAAGTAGAATTATACATAAGACATATGGGCCTGTAAGACCAAAATAACCACGTGTACACTGAATATAGGCCGACAAGCCTATACAATCTCTTATGTACATGACATTTGTCTACAAGCCTCTAAGAATACGTAATTTTCATAAAGGTCGGGACAGGGTTCTGTCATACCAAACAATACACGTCTAAATCATACTAATCAAACAAGCAACTCCGAAACAAATGGAGTGCACCAACATCTTCCGCTGAGCTGATAACCTACTTGGAGGGCTCTCGACCTGTCTATTGGGACCTGCGGGCATGAAACGCAGCGTCCCCAGGAGAAAGAGACGTCAGTACGAATAATGTACCGAGTATGCAAGGCACATAAATAAGTAAATAACAGACATGGAAGAAATATAGAGTAAATGGCTCAACCTGTAAGTCTGAAAAACTTTGTAAATCATGAAATACTTATAGTGTCATGCATATGCATATAAATGTCATGCCGTGCATAGGTACATATTTTATAACATCATCAGCCTCTGAGGGCATCCCATTATATCATCTCGGTCACTATGGGAAAATCATAAACGTATATCAGGTGATCAGGTGGCGGTGCGTATATAATGCCATAACCTTTTTCCATATATATGCATATATATATATATACATAACGCCATCTTGTCATGAGTCAACGTGTATATGTAAATGTGTGAAATGCATGTAAAAATATGTTAATAAAATCTCTCGGTACGTCATAAGACCATTATGCCTCTGATTAATATCATGAAATAAACTTTACCAACTTACGTATTTTTGAGACCCAAGAACAGATGATAGAGTAATATGACACATGGAGAATGAAGAATGTAAGTATTTCTATGAATACAGTCAGTTATGGAAGTTGTGCATTTTCTCATTTCGTTTGTATCGTATGTATCATGCCAAAAGGAAAGAAGGGATAACCTTACATATCTGAGCCGATTCTCTTGACAATTTCTCAAACACACATTAATTACAACAACACGTAACAGTGGATCGAAGTAGGAAAAATCCGTATGATATTCTTGAAAAAGATTGTCTGTGCTCTCTTCAAATCGCATCTTACGTTGCTGTAGCGTTATACGGCTTATTTACGATTGAGATTGATTTGAAAGTTAGAGTTGCATTTACACGTTTCCAGACTAGCTATTTCAATGGGAAATATGGAAATCTTGATGCAAGGGTTATCTCATTGGCTCTCTCGCCACCTTTTTCCTATTGTTTGCCTATCACATTGTACCTTTATTCTTTTCACTGAACTTTTCATGTATGATTTAGAAAAATTGCTTAGCATAATCATATTAGCTTATTTAGAATCCATCTGTTGCCTAGAAAATATGTGTATCTCACTTAATAATATAGGAAAGACTTTTTAACATTATGACTTGTGGACCCCACTTTGTATGGTGACTAAGCCAACTAAACATACTAATTTTAACACCTTGAATTGCGACTTAAGAGTCACTTATTACTTAGTCCCTTGGCAGCCACGTTGAGGCACCTTAAACTTATCCACAATTATAATTAATTATCCAATAATATCTTGATTAACTTATTAATCTCCCACTAATCAATAATTATCCAATTATCTACATAATCAAGAATTATCTCAAGTTACTCAAAATACTACTCACTTTTAACATACATTATACACCTTACTATCATGGCCATGGGGTACCTTGTATGGTACTAGTCCATAAATACCGGATATTTTAGCTCGGGCCGTATTTTATCCCAAAATGCCATACTTCCATGAAATTCTTTCTCTTCGATTTGTTTACCTTCTCACCTTCACGAATTTACCCATTACTTGTTTGAAATAGCATAAAATGCTTATAATCTTAAAATAATCTCATTCCCGAACTTACGTCGATTAACTTACGATGAAACTTTAACGTACGAGAAATGCGGGATGTAATATTTCATTTCCGAGCTTTCACCAATTTGCTTATGGCATACTTTTACGTACGAAAACATGAGGTATAACATCATTCCCCCCTTTGGAACATTCATCCTCGAATGTTTACTGATGCACGTATCATTCTCATAACCCATAGCTCTTGCGAATACTTTAATACTCTTCTTGCCATTTAGGAAACTGTTCTATGAATGAATCCCAAAGGCCAGGGCATTCCCCCCTTTAAGACTCTTTCTCACACCATGACTTGTAGTCGGAATCCTTTTAATCTCATAACTGTTGCTGTCGTGCCCCTTTTTTCCCTCCGCGGAGAGGAGTCCGGGTTTCGACATTTCATAGGGTGTAATGACTCATTTCCTTTTGGGAATTGGGTATTTAAAGAGTCGTCACCTAACAGATTATGGTGCGTTAGGGCACCTAGAGCTATTAACTTATGTAACTAGTTTGCATTACCAGAGATTAGGGTAAGAGCTCGAAGTAACCTCGAGGGGAAGGTGTTAGGCACCCCTCTTGGTCCACAATTATGGGTCCCAACCGAGAAAACCCTAGTTTTTAAAAAAGGTAAAATTAAAATGAGGATCTTTCAGAAAAAGTTCAAAAAACAGGGAAATCATAGAAGGAAATAGGCTTTAAGCATGAAAATAACACAGATCTGAGAGATTCAGAAAAGAGTTAGGGTTTTAAAAAGAAACCGAAATGGAAATCGAAAGAAGCTGTTGCAAACTTCACCGATCGTGATATATAAGGTGTGATTTTGCCCAAAATCACACCGGAGAAGCCATAAGTAATAGAAACAGAAACTCTAGGTCCAAATCGACATGGCCTAGGATCCTTGAAGGCCTTAGAGATGATGAGTAGGGCGATGAGAGACCCATTAGAAGCTTGGGTTGAAAGGGTGGTCGCCGGAGATGACTGGAGAAGGAGGTGATTGACGGAGTTTAGGGTTAGGTTGAGAGAGAAGAGAGGATAT